GGCTCGTCGGACTCCTTGGTCTCACAGGGCTCATCGGACCCATAGAGCACCTAGGGCTTATAGGCCTCATAGGGCTAATAGTGCTCACAGGGCTCGAAGGGCCCATAAGGCTCAACAAGGCTAATTATCCTGGCGAAGGACCCAACCATAAGCAATTGTTCGTAACGCGTTGTGGGTGCTGCTTCCGGTGGGGCTCCCTATGGGGCCACGAAACGCTGCCCAGGGTGGGGGGAACCGCATGCGGGAGCAGCCACTGGGTCCTTCGGTGGAGCTCCCTATGGGGCCACGAAACGCTGCCCTGGGTGGAGGAACCGCATGCGAGAGCAACCACTGGGGCCTTCGGTGGAGCTCCCTATGGGGCTAAGAAACGCTGCCCAGGGTGGGGGAAACGCATGCGAGAGCAACCACTGGGGCCTTCAGTGGAGCTCCCTTTGGGGCCACGAAACGCTGCCCAGGGCGGGGGAAACGCATGCGACAGCAACCACTGGGGCCTTCGGTGGAGCTCCCTATGGGGCTACGAAACGCTGCCCAGGGTGGGGGAAACGCATGCGAGAGCAACCACTGGGGCCTTCGGTGGAGCTCCCTATGGGGCTACGAAACGCTGCCCAGGGTGGGGGAAACGCATGCGAGAGCAACCACTGGGGCCTTCGGTGGAGCTCCCTATGGGGCCACGAAACGCTGCCCAGGGTGGGGGAAACGCATGCGAGAGCAACCACTGGGGCCTTCGGTGGAGCTCCCTATGGGGCCACGAAACGCTGCCCAGGGTGGGGAAACGCATGCGAGAGCAACCACTGGGGCCTTCGGTGGAGCTCCCTATGGGGCCACGAAACGCTGCCCAGGGTGGGGGAAACGCATGCGAGAGCAACCACTGGGGCCTTCGGTGGAGCTCCCTATGCGCTGCCCCATGCGGAGCAACCACGAAACGCTGCCCAGGGTGGGGGAAACGCATGCGAGAGCAACCACTGGGGCCTTCGGTGGAGCTCCCTATGGGGCCACGAAGCGCTGCCCAGGGTGGGGAAAACGCATGCGAGAGCAACCACTGGGGCCTTCGGTGGAGCTCCCTATGGGGCTACGAAACGTGTGAGAGGTGTGCCGAGTGCAGAGGCAAGGAGGGGGAGGAGGGAGGAGGGGGAGGAGGAGGAAGGAAGGAGGGAGACGCGGGGCGCTGTCTCTTCAAAACGAGGGCCCAACACCACAGGATGGTTGGGAAAAAATCGAATAGGCTCACAGGCGACACTGGGCCCATAGGGCTCATAGGGCGCATAGGGCTCGTGCGGCTCGCACGGCCCATGGGGCTCGTACGGCGCATTGGGCTCGTGAGCGTAAGCGTTGCAGGGGGCTCGCAGGGGGCTCGTGGCGCTGACAAGTGTCGTAGGGTTCGCACGGCTCGAAGGGCTCGTACGGTCGTCAGCTCACTGGTGCTGGGCCCATAGGCCCGTAAAGCTCATGGGCCTCAAAGGGCTTCGGGGAGAGGCGTATCGGGGGCCTCTTGGCGGGCGCATAGGGATCGTAGGCCTCATAAGGCTCACAGGGCTCGAACGACTCATAGCGCCATCTGAACCTGCCTTGCGGGGCCGTGTGGGCAATTTTGCTGCCTTCCTGGGCCGTCCCGGGGCCTCCTTGAAAGCCAGTTGCGCCGCTCATACTGTTTGAGGGCACGAGGTCGCGCGCTCAGGATTTGGGAGCGTCTTGGTGTTTTGACTTTGGCACGTGATTGAAAACATCTTCCACACAACCTTGCAAAAATTGATGGATGTGGTCTCTCAACGCCTTCGTGGGGATCCTTTGGGGGCTCGTTTCGGCCGTCTGGCGGCCTTCCTGGGCAGTCTCGGGACCCTCTTGAGCTGTCTTGGGGGGACGGGGCCGTCTTGGGGCTCCCTTGGGGCCCTCCTGGCGCCGAATACCACAAGGGCGCAAAAAACCAAAGGGGCGCCGAAAAATAAAAGCGTACTGAAAACCAAAGGAGCGCCGACAACCAAAGGAGTTCCGAAAACCCAAAATGCGCCGAAAACCAGACGGGCGCCGAAACCTAGAATAGCGCCGAAAACCCAAGAGGCGCCGAAAACCAAAGGGGCGTCGAAAATCAGAAGGGCGCCGAAAACTAAAGAGGCGCCGAAAACCAAAGGGACGCCGAGAACCAACGATGCGCCGACAACCAACAGGGCGCCGAAACCCAAAAGTGCGCCGAATACCAAAAGGGCGCCGAAACCCAAAAGAGCGCCGAAAACAAAAAGGGCGCCGAAAACTCAAGGGGCGCCGAAAATCCGAAAGGCGCCGAAAACTAAAGAGGCACCGAAAGCCATAGGGATCCCGAAAACCAACGATGCGCCGACAACCAAAAGGGCGCCGAAAACCACAGGTGTGCCGAAGACCACAAGGGTGCCGCCACAGGGGTGCCGAAAACCAAGAGAGCGCAGGAAATACCAAGACGGCGCCGAAAACCCAAGGGGCACCGAAAACCAAAGGAGCGTTAAACACCAAATAAACGCCGAAATCAACAAGTAGAGGGCGTCGAAAACACAAGGAGCGCCGAAAGTCAACGATTCACC